TTCTTATTTAAATTATATCCTTGGGAATTCTCACTTTAAAGTTGTAGAAGCAAACCACAATCTCTTTAATGGTTTCCAAAGAAAGTAACATTAATTTATCTTAGTCAATAAACAGAATTTTAAACACTACCGCGATACAAATTCCGTTAATTTGTATACCGCGAGAAACTTCCTCAAATTAAAGTTACATCATTTAGAGAGGAATAGCACTTCCCGTTTAGCGGTGTTCCGTAGCCTTTGGATTATGCATTTTCGTTGCATTTACCAAACTAATCCACAAAGCTTTTATGGTTACGTCAATCTACCTATTGAGATTTTGTTAGTTGATTGTATAAATAAATATTATAAGCAAGATTATCTTGTGTTTGGCTTGTATTGGGAATAATTTTGAATATATACGAGGTTGCAAAGCAAATGCGAAAGAAATGGAGAATTATTTTTTATTTTAATTAATAACTAATAATAAAACGAAATGGCACGAATAAATTAAAACTATAATATAGTATCTACCATGTAGTAGGTGTTTCTGGTGATGTTTCATGTATTGCTTGGATTTTCAATTATCATAATGAACATAATATGGGCTAATGGGAATCCACGGCAATAATAATAAGCTATCATCAACCTAAATCTAGTTAGAATTTATTTGTGTCACAATTTCGTTTTATTATTACTTTATTAAAATGAAAAATAATTCATTTCCTTCACATTTGCTTTGCAATCTCGTATCTCGCGAAGTATATTTGTCTGATCGCAAAAGTGTAATAGGGCTTTCTATTGAGTTTTGTCTCAGAATCTCCGTGGGCGGGAATTTCATAACACCCTATACACCTCTGTTTTCTTTATAAGTAGTACTGTAATGTGGCAGGTTTAAATACACTGATTATTTACCACTGACGTTCTCCCAGACACAGACCTCCGAGATGATAGGATTAGGACTGTTAGGGCCCTAGATTTTACCTCGTGTCTTGTAGTATCTTAAGTGGCCAATGGTCTGCCAGTTCTTTTACTTGAAGTAGCACTGACACAGGATAAATTAAAGACATCGTAAGAATTAATTAGGTTTATTATTGACATTTTGGTAAGAAACTGTTCATTTATAATCGACACAAACAAACGCTATTTGCGGATATATTTTAATGCCGTTTTTCGGTATGTTAACCACAACTACGCATTTACCTTTTGACTTTGAATAATCATTTTTAGGCTTCTTACCTCTTACTTCTGGCTTACTCCTTTCGTTATTATTACCTACCGGATTGTGCTTTCTACATCGATATTCCTAAGTGGAAACCGCAGAATTTTGGATTTTGGACCAATATTGCGCAAGGAATATTCATTTGTGAAGATCCACCGCCATTGTATCAATCCAAGAACGGCGCCATAGATGAGTTTCTACATTACCGGCTGCGAAAATTGTACTTCAATTCTACCAGTGACCTACTTAGACACTTCGATAATTGTTCTTGAGTTGCAACCGCAGCTATATTACGAAATCTTGGAGGTTAACGATCTTATAGTAGGTATGAATATACACTAGTGAGTTACCATGGCTGTTAAAGTTTGGCCGCCCATCGAATATTGTTTATTGGGGTCCTTTAATCAAATTTGGAAGGGAGGCCGGTGGATTCACCGGTAACTTCCGGTTTGATGACGCCCGCAATTTCGCTAATTCGGAAAAATGCTTCTATCTCAGTAACCACTTGTCTGATTTTCATGATCTTGGGCTCATTGGAAAGATATTAAAATAAGACAGCACTTTTATGAGAAATGCAAAGCGTTTCGCGAACGGTTTTCGCGAAATTTGCTAAAATTTGAAAAATTCGCGAATTATTTTTTGTCTTTATGACGCAGGTAAAACGTTATTAAACTAATAAAATAATATGCAAGAAAATACAGTAAATTAGAAATATTACAACAATAAGTTCTATACAAATAGTAAATTGTATCTCACAGGTCCCTTATTCGCTAACCCTATTGTATAACAACAGTGTAATATTTTTTTCTCCAACCACCTGAATAAGACGCTATTTTGTCGCACTTTTCGGTACAAAAAATGGGCGATTTCGGGAGTCGTCGGTATCACCATGGTAAGTGTCCAAAAAGTAGGTACCTACTTTTCGGACTAGCCCAAAAAATAAAAATTTTATTGCTTGGGGGTTTGTTGTCCATATGGGAAGAAGCCTTCGAAATTTATTTTGTCAGCCATGTTCAAGTGCATCTGGATCTGGCGCGCTAATTTCTGCTTTGAAAGCCGATACCCAAAAGCTTGCCTAGTGAATTGCTCGGCTGTAGCGCATTTTTGGTCGGAGGAATCATTTCTGGATTCTGGTTTCGATGGTAAAATAGGCATTAATTTCCGTAGTCCATTAATTGTATCCGCTCCACCTTCGTAGATCTTTATACAAAGTGATTCCAACGCTGTAAATTCGGCAGACTCTACCTCAAGTATCGTAAATGTAAATGGTCTTCCTAAAAGTGGAATCATCGCCTGTGTATTCATTTCGGCGCACTTCCCCCATGTGGCATAGCATGTTCTTTTTGATCTACCTCTGAAAGATGATGTAGAGTCACATCCTGTTATAGTGACAAAGTGAGGTAGAGCAATGCAATGATTTGGGCCGAGGGCATCACAATTTTTTCGACATCCATAAATTTTCGATTATTTCCTATCGATGATGACCTCCTTTACGTAAGTTTTGTATTGAATCATCCCACTTTCTTGTTACGAATTGCCTATCTTCACTTATTGCACCTTCGAGATTGCTGAGTTCGCTTCCAAACTCGGTGAATGGATTTCCATGCGCAGTAGCATAGCGTCAGTCATAGACTTTGCATCAGTAAGAAACTCTTCTGATTCTTCAGACCTTCATCATTGTGAAAGAGGTCGTAGTCAACATCTTCTTGCGCGTTTGAGGCTATTTTGAAGTCTGCGACTCTTTTACTCACATCGGAACTGTACAATGACTAGTTCATCATTGATATTGGATCTTGGGTCAAACCAATTAGGCCTCAATCTCCCTTAATTTTCTTGTTTAGTTGTTCGTGACTCTGATCGATAGCAATGCTTGAAAATTGGCTTCTTGATCTGTTTCCGACAAACTTGCCAGCAATAAATTGAGGAAGAAGGGATGTTGGTAATCTTTTTAAATCACGAACGTGAATGGGAATTGGTTTAAAAGAGAAAGAAGCAGGTTATAATAATGTTGTGCGTAAGTTACAAATATTAATAACGTTTTACCTGTGGAAAAAAAAATTCGTGAATTTTTCCAATTTTAACAAATTTCGCGAAAACCGTTCGCGGTATGCGAATTGCACTTCTCATAAAAGTTCTGTCTTATTTTAATATCTTTCCAATGAGCCCAAGATCATGAAAATCAGACAAGTGGTTACTGAGATAGAAGCATTTTTCCGAATTAGCGAAATCGCGAACTTTATGACGTCATCAAACCGGAAGTTACCGGTGGATCCACCGGCCTCCCTTCCAAATTTGATTAGAGGACCCCAATAAACAATATTCGATGGGCGGCCAAACTTTAACAGCCCTGGTAACTCACTTGGGTTTTTAGCGCATTTCCACAAAAATAAAACAAGTTAAAAAGTAATCGTAAACGATTTACATAAAGCGCATTTCCACTTGCATTCATTTCCCATTATTGTAAGATGCAACTTCTATTAAAATCGTAAAAATCCGGTCACAAATATGAAAGATAGCGTTGCACATGGGCAATCCATTTTTGACGTGCTACTTCAATTTCAGTTTATGAGAAGAATTTCATTTCAATGCTTTTCTAAATAAGAAAGTTGGAACTGCGCATGCGCAAACCTAAATTTTGAAACTAATGTTAGATTTTCCTTTGTTCCAAGCGCCTAAGTATCAAATTTCAGTTAAATGCTTCCATAGATAAAAAAGTTGGCACTGCGCATGCGCAAAATAAAATTTTGAAACTGGCGCTAGATTTTCCTTTATTCCAAGTGCCTATGTATCATATTTCATTTAAATTCTTCCATAAATAAAAATGTTGGCACTGCGCATGCGCAAAACCAAATTTGAAACTGGCGTTTGATTTTCCTTTATTCCACGTGCCTATGTATCACATTTCATTTAAATTCTTCCATAAATAAAAAAGTTGGCACTGCGCATGCGCAAAACCAAATTTTGAAATTGGCGTTTGATTTTCCTTTATCCCAAGTGCCTATGTATCAAATTTCGTTTAAATTCTTCCATAAATAAAAAAGTTGGCACTGCGCATGCGCAAAACCAAATTTTGAAATTGGCGTTTGATTTTCCTTTATTCCAAGTGCCTATGTATCAAATTTCATTCAAATACTTTTATAAGTAAAAAAGTTTGCAATTCGGTTTATAAATGGTCGAGATGCGAAAAGGGGACTGTGAATTTTGAATCGATTCGATCCAACTTTTGGCATTGCGTATTATATGGCTAAATCTATGCCCATATTGAATTTCATGCAATTAGTTCATAACTAACGGAGATGTAAAAGCGATCGAACATTTCTAAACAAAGTTATCGTTCACACGGACAGATAGATGGACAGACAGACAAAGGAACAGACGGAGAGACCAACCGGCAGGCGACAGATAGCAATGCAAAATTATAAACGATCTCTAGGATCGTTAATAAACGGCAAAAGTGTAAAATTATGGAACATGTAAAAAACGGTTTTTTGTTTTTTTTACAATAACTTTTTTTGTAAGCGGTACAGAAAAAAATTCCTTCCTTGGTACAAGACTCGACACCATAACGAACCAAATATCGAAAAAAGTAGAACAATAGCTCTTAAGATAAAAAACTAGTAGCGTCGCAAAGTTAGCGGACGGACGGACAAAGTGGCCACAATAGCGCATTTTTTTTTATTTTTGTGGAAATGCGCTAAAAAGTGCGTAAAACTTGACCGTTAGTACCACGAATGAGTACGATTACTTGCATTTGGAAAACTTTAGAAATTCCGTTTATCGGTGTAGGTGTGGCAATCTCCTTAATTGGAATTCGACAGTCATTTTAGCCAGTCGTGAAGTGTATAGCAGCTATTACAGTCTATCGCGTTAATTACTCTTTTAGGAGAGTTTTTCAGAAAGTTCTGCGTTTTGCAAGTAACTCATTCCACTTTGGGTTTCACTTAAATATCATACCCAAAATAGGTAAGTAGGTACTTACATTTTTAACAAAAGCCAAAGCAAATGTATTCTAACAATAAACGTAGCAGTTCCTTATCTAGCAAACAGTTTACATTGCTCTTCAGTGATAAATGAATCGTTAACATTAAAATTGCAGTAGCTCTATAATGGCACCCGCATACAAGCTGAAATATTTTCCTTCGAAAGCTTTGGGCGAACCGATCCGTTTTCTGATGAGCTATGGAAACATCGAATTTGAAGATGTCCGTTTGATAAGAGAGGACTGGCCCCAGATTAAACCGACCATGCCCTTCGGTCAAGCTCCTGTGCTGGAATTTAAAGGCATAACGGCATATCAAAGTATCGCCATCTGTCGGTACCTGGCGAAACAGGTCAAGCTCACTGGAGCCAACGACCTCGAGGATTGGGAAATCGATGCAATCGTCGATACCGTAAACGATTTGAGAGGAAGTAAGCTTTGTTGCTCATTTGAGGCTCTGTTAGTACTAAACCGTTTTAGAAATTGCCGAGTATTTCTACGAAACCGATGAGACGGTCAAAGAAACACGCAAGAAACCGGTCTTTGAGCAGACTATCCCTTACTATATGGAACGCATCGAGGCTATCGCTAAGAAGAACAATGGCCATCTCGCAGCGGGCAAGGTAATTAACTTCTGCGACGATATAAGAGTTAGAATTTATAATTTCTAGCTCACGTGGGCCGATCTGCACTTCGTCGGAATTCTGGATTACTTACGTTTTATGGTCGGAAAGAACCTGATAGAAGATTATCCGAGCCTTCAGGCCATGGAGAAGACTGTTTTGAATCTACCCGGAATTAAGGAATGGGTGGCTAAGCGTCCAGTTACAGTTGCATAAGTGTTTTGCTGTAATTATGCTAGTGTAGAATAAAATCATTTCAAATTTTTCGTGTTTTGAGAAATAGTTGTTAATCTTTGTATCTCTGGTGTTATTACCCAGAGTTTTTACTCTATCAGCCATTGTCCGCATAGCGTGTAACCATTGAATAATAATTCAGATTTATTATTCAATGGTGTAACCCTTCTAACTTGTATTAACTCGCTAATTTGATCCATTCCAAGGAGTCTGCTTGACCAAGACAAGTATGGCAGTGGTGGGCCACTTCCTTCCTTCCTTCCTTAGAGTCGTGAGATACGACGTGATTGTCTAAGATTAAGAGAAAATTTCTTAAGCTGTAATTCTGCTGAATAGGAAAAATACGGTCAAAGTGGATCAAATTTACCTATAGCTGTCAAATGGCTTGAATTTGAATGGGGGAATTATTTTCATTGGGGTGGAAAAAGATTCCCTTCCCAGACGGTGCAGTAGTTGTAGTTCTCGGACATTCGAAGAGGGACTTTCGCTGGGTCAAGTAGAAAAAACAGCGTCGTGATTTTTTTTGTGCGACACTCGAATAGATAGTTTACTGAAGTTAAGCTGATAAATTGACAGCGCGAGATGTTATTTTTGTTTCCATGGGGAGGGGGGGGGGGTGGTTAATACCTCAAATGCTAATCTTGAAATCGAAGTGTCGGAAAATGATATTCACAAAAGGAAAATTAGTAATCGACGATGCGCATCCTTCGTTGTGTTAACATGATGCGTTTTTATTATTTTTTTTATTTTAATATCCCTCTCTTGTTTTTTTTTTTGGGCCCTCAACAGGCATGCGCCCAATTACAGAGTGACCCGCATAATGCTATTTAGAGGTGCCTCTGCAGAAGGTCTTAAGATGGTCTATACTACTCCGGTATTTACCTTACGAATTAGGAAAACTGCAGGAAAACCTAATTCGGAGTAGCCGGTAGAATGCTCGGAACTGGCCTAAGGTAATTTCCATCTCCGCCACAGATGAAAAATTCACCTCAACCCAGGTTCGAACACCCGACCTTCGGATTTATAACCCAATGCTCTTACCACTGAGCCATAAATCCGACATGAGAGTGGAGTGGTTAATTGATGGGTATTGAAATGACTAATGACGTCAGCAACCGAATAGAAACTATATTCATCTTCCTGTACCACTAATACCTTCATCCCCTCCCAGCATTCCCCAGTTTACACAATAAAAAGGGACGCAGAAAGACATCCCTGAGCCGACAGCAAACAAATTTATTATACTCTCCTTAATCCTTATCATTACCCCCTGTTCCATATAAAGACTATCTACTCCGTCAATCTACTTTTTTTAAAAATATTTTCATTAATCTGTTTTAACGGAAGTTGTTTTTTTAAATTTCGTCACTGGTTTCGGTGTGGGTTGGCTTAGGGAGCGATAATACTATCTTAATGGGTTTTACGTGCCCAAAACAGCCCAGTCTGGAGTACGTGATGAGATTATAGTTCAAAATAAGCAAATAACGAACTGTAAACCACTGCTTTAATAGAAACAAACACCAGACTAAAGTAAAACAAGGAAAAAACTACTTATATGAAAAATACATGTTACTACGTCTACACGTACACGTCATACCTATTTGACACTTGAAGAAAAATGTATATACACGGTGTGTCACAGTTTTTCTCTAACACTTCCTCCAAAACTGGACACGCCAAAAAAAACAAAGAACTAATCTGATTTAAAACAATTTTAAACCCAAACCATCACGCAACGTTTTAAATCTAACTCGGTCAAGCGGTTTCGTAAATAAGTCCGCTAATTGATGTTGTCCATCAATATGTTGCACTTCAATCTCGTTATCTTGCACACACTCGCGAACATAAAAGAAGCGAAGCTTTACATGTTTGGTGCGTTTGTGAAACTCTGGATTTTTACTTGACTTTACTGCGCTTGCACTATCACAATAAAGTATTGGTTTCACAATCGTTTTTCCACTAATTTTAGAAACTAATCGTTTCAGCCACATTAGTTCTTTTGAACCCTCACTTGCTGCCACAATTTCAGCTTCTGTAGTTGAAGTTACGACCGAGTGTTGACGCTGACTCGTGACCTGTCGTTGACCGACCTGTTTCGCTGCATCCTCCATAATCCGCATCCGTGAATGTCACCAACTCATCAGATCCACCCTTTGAGTAGTGCAGTCCATAACTACTGGTTCCACGCAAATAACGAAATATGCGCTTCACACGGTTCCAATCTTCTTGAGTAGGTTCTTGCATTTTTCGAGCCGCAAATGAAACTGCATAGGCAATGTCAGGCCTCGTTGCCGTCATCAAGTGCATTAAGGAGCCGACCGCTGACCGATATGCTGTTCGATCCTCGAATACTTTCTTTTGATTCTCATTTATCGTATCGCTTCCACCGATGCGTTCACAAGGAGTTGATACGTCTTTTGCTTCATCCATGCCAAAACGCTGTAGTATACGCTTTGTATATGCATATTGTGATAAGAAAATCCCGTCGCTGCGTATACTTATCTGCATGCCTAAGAAGCTCTCCAAGGACCCAACTATTATTTTAAAATGCTCTTTAAGTGCTGACAGAAACCTCTGGATTTCGTTAGCATCATCACCGACGATCAAACCATCATCGACATACAGTACAACTATTAGAGTTACTCCGTCTTTACGTCGAGTAAAGAGACACGGGTCCTCCTTTGCTGCTTCGAGATCAAACTTCTTCATAACTTCCACAAATCGCTTATTCCAGCACCGAGGTGCTTGTTTGAGCCCGTACAAACTACCTAAAAGTTTGCATACTTTGCTAGTCCCGTCGTCATAACCTTCGGGTTGTGCCATGAAGATTTCTTCATCTAGCGTGCCGTAAAGGAACGCTGTTTTCACATCAAATTGCTCTACGTGCCAACCACACAGTGCTGTTTCAGCCAATACTACTCGCACAGTATCATAACGTGCGACCGGACTGAAAGTCTCGTCATAGTCTATGCCCTTTTTCTGCCTATAGCCTTTCACAACTAGGCGAGCCTTGTAACGAGAAACGTTACCACTCGCGTCAAGTTTTACACGAAAAACCCAACGGCAATCTATTACCTTAACATTCTCTTTCTTTTCTACCAACTCCCATGTTTTATTTTCTTGCAACGATGCCATCTCATCATCACATGCTGCTTTCCACTTGGCACATTCGTCCGAGTTCATCGCTTGGTCATATGAGGAAGGAGTAATTCCATCATATACGTTTGTGGTTGCTTGTGCACCATTCGCTTGATACAAAACATCATTTGTCTTATCAACTTCGAACTCATTTGACTTATAAATTGCAGGACGTTGACGTTTCCTTTCCGACTTACGGGGTACTTCACGAGCGTCGAGTATATTTGCAACATCAGTCTTCTTATACTGGTTTACCATACTTCTATCTGGAGCCCCTTCTGTAAGATCTTCATCACTTTCTTCCTCCTCATCCGAATTTTCCTTACTTTCGGTGACATTCGGAACCGATTCCAGACTCTTAGTTGACACTAGTCGATATTCAGCCGACCCTGTAGTGTTAAGTTCTGTGCACAAATTTTCATCTTTGAAGAATACATCGTGTGAATGCACAATCTTACCGCGAGATGGTAAATATACCACGTAGCCGTCTTTGTCATTAACATAGCCGACACAACGACCGTAAACGCTCTTGTTATCAAATTTTTTTCGAAACTGTTTTGGAATATGCACATAGCATTCAGTACCAAAAACACGCATATGATCAAGTCTGTCAAATGTCTTGCCACGCCACAATTCAATGGGAGTTTTTGTTGGAACTGTTGATTTTCCTGTAGCATTTAGAACATATACACTGGTTGCACACGCACATAACCAAAAGGACTTCGGCAAACCACTTACCGAAAGCATAGATCGCGCTAGTTCAACAATCGTACGATTCTCTCGCTCAGCCACGCCGTTCTGTTCCGGAGTATATGGAACCGAAACTTCCAAGCGAATCCCATGTGCATTTAACATGCTTCGTACTTCGGCACAGTCAAACTCACCTCCACCATCACAGCGAAACACTTTTACAGTGTGACCTTCTGTATGTGTTTCATTTAAAAAGGTTTTCAGGCAAGCAGATACTTCACTTTTCTTTGCGATAAAAAACACACGCCGATACTTGCTAAAGTCATCTTTGAAACAGACATAATATCGCTGTTTACCTCCAAATGCTTCAACTGACATTGGGCCATTCACGTCTGCATTGATGCACTCACCAATACTGTTTGCACGATCCTTTCTCGCATGGAATGGTTTTCGATGTGCTTTGCCTAACGCACATCCGTCGCAGAACTCACTCGTGGCGGCATAGTCGACTTCAATGCCTAAACGACTTAAAACGTTTCTTATGTGACGTTTGTCTTGATGCCCTAATCGTTCATGCCAAAGTTGTAATGTTTCGCTTGATTTTGCAAAACACACTACCGCCGGATGAGTTGGTACAACAACAACCATATCCATAATGTATGCGTTGTTCTTCCAAGTTGCCGTCGCTACAAGCCTACCGTTACGTTTGAGCATAACGTGTTCACGACTAATAATACTGACTACGTCGTGCCTTGAAGCCATTCTTGAACTAAAAAGATGATACGACATTCCTGGCACATATAAAACATTGTACAGAGTAGCCGTACGCTGCTGTCCATGTACTGTCATCAATACGTTGATGTTTCCCATTCCAATTGCATGCAATGAACTGCCAGAAGCTGCCGTTCCTACAATACGAGGCGTTTTGAATGCTTCGTATGACGAAAAATAATGTTTGCTTCCTGTCATGTGATCACTTGCGCCTGAATCACACACCCAGCCATCTGCATTGCCATTTGAATTTGTTTCTGCAACAAATGCACCACTGCTTACTGGTTCATTATTCATCTTCTTGTTTTCATTTGTTTTGTCAGAAGTTTGATTTCGACACTGCTTTGCTAAATGACCCTTTTTGTTACACTTGTAACAAGTGTAGCCTGAATAACGACTTTTCTTACTGCTTACTGATTTCTCATTTGAT